AAACCACTACACCACACTGGCTCTTCACTATCATATGCATAAACACACAGGATGTGATAAAGAGATGGCCAGAGAAATATGTAGAATTGTTTTTCTGTCACAGCATTCTAGTCAAGTACATCCAATTTTGCACCATACTGCCTACAAATCTGCACACATTTGCCAGACTTCTTCAGCAACTTTCTAATTCTTGGTAGAAAACTCTTCTAGTAAGAAAGCTGAAGTTCACATTTGTTAAGACTACCACAATCTCGTAGGGGGCTGGTGCTAATTCCAACTTTTTTCACCCATCTTGCCCTCTTTGCCAAAATCATAGCAGACCGATATAGGAAAAGCATTTGGTTTTATTGAACAGAAGCAGAGAGTCATCTGAGTCGTCTCTGAGAGAAAATAGCTTTCAGAAAATGTCTTTTGACACTCAGGCGTGTAGTACCAAAAAAGCAAGCCTTCAATGTACAGTATGTATATCATGTACAGGATACAATAAGTTAATATCTACATGCAACAGACATATAAGAAAGTTACCTACACACTGTAAAAATACAATATTTTTCAGCTTATTTTGTTTTTAATTTTTTTATACAGGTTTTAATTTACATTTTTACAAATTTTTTGTAAACATTTTTGCTTATAAAAAATCAGAGCACACCACACATCACCACCATTCACATCTGCACTTCAAGATGGCCACACGACGCTACAATCCTAAGTTTTGTTGCCCCTTCATTTCTACCATGACCTTGCTTTCACATCATTAGACTACAAAGTAAATTTCTTCTTTTGCTCACTTTGCATATTATTTTTAAGATACTAAGTAACACAACCATATAGTCTGTGCTTTAAAGAAAAAAATGGCAAGCAATTAAGTGTCATTACAACCATTTTATCAACTTCACATTTACCATCTTTCTGCTAACAGCTTTCACTTAAGCATGCAAACATATTATGATTATGGATTTACTTATGACAAGGTAAGAAAAACTGAAGGAGTTAGTAAGTAAAGGGAATGTGAAACTTTACAGTTCTATTTTAAGTAGTATGTTTTTTTTTACATTAACACTAAGTTTTCTGAATACAATTTATTCCAATCTGAGGATATCAAAGCTGGCCTTTAGATGCTTTAATGCACAATATGCCTGGAACAAACTTTAGAGAGGCAGCTTATTCCTCCCTAAATAATCTAAGTATATGCCTGATTAAATCTGAACAAAGTTCCTGAAGTTGAACCCAGTTTTAAAGTGATGAGACTGCCTTTTCTTTGAAAGGACAATGAAAAAATTGGTTAAAATACTTCAGTCCAAAAAGAAATAAGCATACACTGCTTTGCAATTTAGCCTATCCCCAAAATACTTCACCATTAAGCTTCAGCTTGTAATTCCAGCAGAGAGCATTCAAGTGCAAATAAAGTTTTCCAGCTATCTTATAGCCTGATCACAGGCAGCATGCACTTACTAATGCTTGCCACTGAATACAGTCCTAAATGCTTAGATCCACTTTTGCTACATCTGACATCGCACTAAAAGGGAAAGCGCAGTACACATTTTGAGTACTCTATGAGACCTTGTACCAAGGTACAGAGAGTGCTTAGATACTTATTGCCTAAGTACTATAATGCATTAAGAGCTCAATCTACACTGAGTCAAAGGAGAGGGCCTGCCACTTTGATTTCGGTTTGAGGTCAAAGAAGAAGGTGCCTTCCAGGTCACTTGGCGGAGAACTGCTAAGGCTTTCCTCTCCACAGCTCATATCTTCACAAGAATCCTCACTAAAAAAGATGAAGATATAAAACTCACGTAAGTCATGAGAACAACGCATGAAATGTCAGATATTGTTAAAAGTATCTTTATTTTAAAACATTTTCAAGCCAGTAACTTTCCCGACCTTATATACAACAACAAGTTTATTGATTAATCAACTGACCATATCAACAATAAATTACAGAATTTCAAAATTCAAAATACAACATAACACTGTATACAAAAATGGAATAAAACACATCTAAAATTAACTGTGGGGTTAAAACATATTTGGTTAAATAAACAACTAGATAAAATAGTGTGCAAAATAAGCTACAAATACCATATAAAATATGACAAGCTAAAACAGGGGGAAGTGACTAAAAATGATAAGGAAGCCTAAATAAACTCATCACCATGACACGGCACTCCGTGTTGAATAATGAATTGCTCTCTCAAATGAGCTGCTTTTAAGATAAATTTTGCAGTATATCTCACTAAATGCAAATTCTCCCCAGAGAGAAAATGGGACAATTTAACAATAGGATCCCAGTTAATTGTTCTAGCCAAATAAGGTCGTAAAAAATGAGATCTCGCCTTGTCATTTATATACAAAATGGTGCTAATGAACACCAAGGACTGGAGCCTCAGTGTAGAAGTGGCTAAGTCAAAGCACAGCACTCCTTCAAATAGGCTGAAACTATATGGATGAGTATTTCCTCACAATGCTTGCTACAGAAACCTCGGAAAGGTTTCATTATGTACTTACATTCATTATAGGATTCTAAACTATGTGTATAATTGCAGTTCTTTAATCAAAGGTTTCCCGCCAAGATACAAAAGTCAAGACTGGACCAATGCTGTCATGATTCCCACACCTGTTTATGGCTGACACTATGTATCATCCTAAAAGGCACCTTTTTGCACGTGAATGTTTGCTTTTGGTATTTGACTTTGCAGTTTCAACAGAAGCCTTATTCAGGCATCCCTTACTCAGTCTGAATCAACATGCTCAATTCCCCATCCCTATTTTCCTTACATTGAAAGTAACAAAAGACTGACAAGAGAAGGTCCTGTTCACATGGAGACTCTCCATGTGAACAAGGATGCTGGAAAAAGTCAGACTTCTTGCTTACACTGAGACTCTGCACAAACGCCTCAGATTTGTTGCTATCCATGGGAAAAAGACAATAGAGGGAAGCAAGATTAGGCATTTTCCTCTTTGCACATTGATTCAAACTAGGTAAGTAATGCCTGAATAAGGCTCTAGTGAACAGATTCTCTCTTTTTGTTCTTGCTGCTGCTGAAAATTTGAACAATTGCATCTAGGTTGTTTAAATCCAGTTTGATGGACTGAGAGGTATACTTCCACAGAGTGTAGTTTTTCAAGCAGACTTTTGAAGCAGATGTCTCCAAGAGTAAAATGTATGCACATGCATGTAATATGTTGAGGGAGACCCATGTTATCTACAGTACATGTGTTATCTAGAACACACAGTAGTTGGGAATGGATTCTTTCCTAGACACAGCTTCCATGTATTTTAAAACAGGAATGAAAACAGAAAACTGATCTACCAACTAATTTCTTGTGCACTGCAGCCCACACCGCTGGTTGATTTAGCTCCTGAAATACTACCTTGGACTTAAGATTACCATACCACACTCACAGTGCTGCTATTTCACTTTTACTGCTCTAGCTGCCTCCTGTGGCATTCTTGGATTTGCATTTTAGGGAAAGGCATTTAGAATTATCAGCCAGAGCGCTTTTAAGCCTCACTGTACTACAAACACCAGAATGCAACAGTAGGCAGCCAGAGCAATGTAAGTGGAATAGCAGCACTATAAAAGTGTAGCGCAGTAATCTCCTTAAAGAGAATTTTTATCTTATCCTGCAAGAGTGTAAAAAGTGCTTTAAGCAGGAGTGCCCACTCAGGGCCACTAAGATAGGCAGGTTATTTAGTAGTTAGGCATGGCACAAAATATTTTCACGTACACTAATGATTTTTTTTTTTGCAAAATGTAAATGTTAATTACATTTTTTCTGTTAAAAAAGCAGACAAACTGTATAACTAGAAAGAATTCCTCCTCTCTGCCAAAACGCAATCAAATACATGTATTCACCTTGAACTATGACTGTGGTGCAAGCATATTTTGTAGTCTAGTACATGCCACTTTCCAAATTAAATAAATGTCATTTTAGTATCCCAAACATTAACAAATCAACACAACCAGCATCAGAAAACAGAAAGTAAAATCGGTAACTTGAATTACTATCATTTAAAGGTAGCAAGTTGCTTAGAGAAAGCTCTGTGTGGTTCAACCTACCTCTCACTTTCATCAAAACATCCAGCCTCAGGGATTGTGGGCAACTCAGGAACACTATAGTAGCTGTTTTGAAGATTTTGGGCAGTGCGTCTTGAAACAATCCACACTAATTTTTTATGGTCTGGCTTGCAGCAGGCAGGGGAAGAGTAATCTGCTAAGCATTTTGAGACCAGCTCTCTCCAATACAGTAAGTCACTGTCATTTATCTGAAAAACATCCCATATTTCCTTACATTAGTATTTTAAGAAAAGAGCACTGTAGCACAAATGGCTGCAATATCATGCAAAGCGACTTCAGCAAAAGCCTTCAACAACATTAGACTAATTTTCAAGTAAACATGCACAAGTGAGAGTGTGGGAATATCAATTAACACACACAACTACTTTTTTAAAAGCAGATTACTGATTTCAATGACACTCTTGTTAAATTCAAAGACACAGCTGTGTAGCCTGGATCAGTATGCGAAGGGATCCTGCAGAACCTTTGAGACTGAGAGAATGCTTATGCTAACAACTTCTTCCTTTCTCTCTCTTAAGTCTCAAAAGTGCTGCAAGATCCCTTTGCACACTTTTGTTTAAGAAAGACATTATGCACTAAAGAGCATGAAGCAGTCTTTAATATACTTGAATGTTTGTGTTCTGAAACCAAAGAGGAAACATTGCCTCTACATTTGTTGTTATTGTGTGCCTTCAAGTCATTTGTGACTTATGAAGTTTAATAGTATTTTAAGGGGGAGTGGGATAAAATGCATATTTTAATATTGTAAGCTGTTCCAGTTGTGTTATGCAGAGAGACAGGATATTACTATTATTATTATTATTAATTATGGCAAAACTATTATGGGGTTTTCTTGGCAGGATTTGTTCAGAAGAGGTTTTCCATTGCTTTGCCCTTAGGCTGAGAGTGTGTGACTTGCCCAAGGTCACCGAATGGGTTTCATGACTGAGGTGGGATTTGAACCCTAGTCTCCACAGTTGTAGTCCAACACTCAAACCACTATGCCACACTGGTTTGCTGGCTGTACATACTCATAGTAATTTTGATTTTATCAGCGTTAAAACACTTTTGTTGGTTGGTTGGTGTCTCTATCATGACTGCAGAAACAGTTGTAATGAAGGGAATAGCAAGGGCAAGAGAAGGGAATGACCAACTGTTTGCTTCACAACTAAAAATGCTATAAGGCCATCACCACAATAACATTAGGTCCTGGGTCTAAACTTGCACCACTGGGTATAAAACAACAACAACAACAACAACACTCAATGAACTTAAGATGGCCAAGGGCTTGACCTCTGATTAATGGAGAACTCTGGCAACAGAGGTGTTACCACCACCGTGACTTGGGAGGGTGAAATTAAAGAATTCTTGAAAAAGAACATGAAACTATGTGAGTCTTGATCTAATTCTACAACAGCACAAGAGGTATCTTAAGAGTGAATACTCAGGATCACTTAACACAGGTTAGTGCTGGACCATAAGAGAGTCAAATAAAATGAAAGTGAGTGTATATAAGGTTGATGTCAGCCCACTCCTGTTTAAAGAAATCTTTAGGTAGATGCATTATACCAGAGCAGCCTGTTTATCCATTGGACCCAATTATGTCTATTTTAACAGGCATCAGCCCTTTTAGATCGCAGGCAGAGAGATATTTCCATAAGCTATTTATTTATTGGTAAAGTGTGAATGCCAAAGATAGTGCAAATGATGTGGTACAACAGCACCTGTTCATAACGGCCATATGATGCAAAAATGGGTAAAATGGAAATTTCTTCCACTTTACAAATGTATTGTTTCTTTATCTTTTAAATGCCAGAACAAAGCTGATTTAAAGTCTTCCAGCCATTTGACTCTATGTATTTCCCTTCCATTCATAAATGTGAAAGTCTTTCCTGAGCCCATTACTATTCTTGGACAGACATTTATTACACTGTTAGAATTGTGGGGTCTAAGAAAAATAAGCCCATATAGTCGAATCCCTTACCTTTGAATACTTCTGAATACACAGAACAATCTCAAACAACTCAATGGACTTTAGAGTCTGCACTTCCAGCGAGAGAAGGCACAGGGCCAAAACAGATGGCTGAAAATACAAATAAACACAAAAGAGTCAGTAATGCCTTCCTGGATTCCAACTTTCAACCATTCACCTACTGAGCAGCCCATCTCATAGACTTACTTTTGCTTTTGAGAAGACTAGTCGGCAGTTACAAGCTTTAAGTTGTGCTTCCAGTTTGTCAAGATTCAACAATTCTTTCCTATAATGAAACAAGTGATTTTTTTTAAAAAAATCGTTTTCATCTTATCAAGGGAAGCAGCAGATTTTAACTGTAATGGTGTTACTCAATTATGGAATAAGCCAATTTATCTTTGGCTTTACCATTCTGTAAGCATCACATCTGCTCTGTTCATCTTAAGATGAAGAACCACTAGAATGTATTCAACAATGTTGTTCTGGCAGTGGAATGAACACAACTGGCAGATCAAATTCCCCTGTCTCTCAAGTCTGCTCAGGCAAGTTGGAGAACCCAAAACAAATATGGAGTGGCGAGATCTTTTGTGAGCTCCCTTAGGTCCAATTTAGGAGAAGGGCAGCATATAAATAAAATAAAATAAAATAAAATAAAAAAACATGTTCTAGGAGGAAGAGAAGCAAAAATTCAGGCTGTGTGAGCATGATGTCACTTGTATAAATACTGAATTTAGTCAACCGACTCCCTAGTCTCAGCCATATTTGTTTATCCCACTATTCAAGATTATGTGTCATTATCATGTCAAGCTGCTTTGGACAATATGTCAAGAGAACAGTGGGGTATAAACCAAATATATAAATAATAAAATACAGGTACCGTATTTTCCGGCATATAAGAAGACCCCCAACTTTTCCAGTCAAAATATAGTTTGGGATATACTCACCGTATAAGACTACCCCTCTTCCAACGCACACCAAATAAAAATTAAGATACTGGTGCTGTTACCCAGTATACAACAACCAGCCAATCACGGCAAGCGATGTACTTCACCGGTGACTGGCTGGTTGTTGTATCCTACTACCTCCTTCTCTGCTTCTCAGATTTTGCACATGTGCGCCTGGTGAGTGGATTCTCTTCTACCGTACTTGTACAACACTGCCCTTGCTGCTTTTATACTGTGGCCGCATATGGCAGGGATGCGGCCGTAGCCGTTTTTGAGTTCCCCCCACCGTATGCAGCGACCGCAGATTCTCCAGTCTGGCTCGGAAGTTTCAGTGCCTGCCCTATAAGACGACTCCCGACTTTTGAGAAGACTTTCCTGGGTTAAAAAGTCATCTTATATGCCAGAAAATACAGTATCTAGAGCCACTGCATGTAAAAGTAAAATGTAAGTGAAGATGGGACTGGGAAGAGGCTAAGAGGTAAGAGGCTTCAGGCTACTGGCTAAGGCTAAGAAAAAGGATTCAGGCTACTGACTGGAAAGAAGAGAGGATTCAATTGATTCAAGACCTACCTTTCTGAGGTATGACAGAGTACTATAGTATGGTACAAGTGCAAAAAGGTTAAGGCAGTAGTAGCTTTGAAATCAAAGTGCAGTTTTTCTGAGATTATTTTTTCCATTCGCTTCAGATCAGATGCTGTGCACTTGCACTGGCTAATCCGGATGACATCATGGAGGGAAGGAATGTTGCATTGCTCTTCAACCACTTGAGCAGCCAATTGAAAACAACAGATGCCAATGCAGGACAAATGCTTAGGTTTTACCTAAGGAGAAAACCATTATGAATTAGTGCAGCAAGCTGGCAAGCTACCAGACCACAATGTGTGAGATAAAAATTGGAACACACTTTGAAAGTACTGCTAAGTCATGGAGCATTCAGTGTGTTGATTTGAAAATTAAGACCTTATATCAAAAAGCTAGGTTCAACTGTAATAGCAAAACAAGTTACAGCAAATCCAGCTGTAACAGCAAATATAGCAAGTCCTGCTTTCCCAACTGTAACAATATATTTAAAAAAAAAATTTTTAGCAACAAGATTGTTTACGGTGCCTTAGTTCTCAATTTGGGGAAAAGGACTGTTGATGCCATTAAAAAAGAGTAATATGGCCATGAATATGTTTGAAAGCAAAGAGAGTAGTGGGGAATTTGGGGCAATTTAGGATTATTTCTAAGTATTACACACACATTTAATAAACCAGTTGGTGATAAATTTGACTCCCAAATTCTCTATCCAGTCTTTTATGGAATCATTCTAGATGGCAAGAAATAAACTGACTGTAAAGCTTTAAAACACAAATCCAGTGTAAAAAAGTACACAGTAAAAGCACAATTCAGTGTAGCAGTTCCTTCTACTTCTTGGTACCTTCATAAGTGCCAAAAATCTATCTAGAAGGTTGACAGCCAGGACAAATGTTTCGGTGGCAAATCCAAAGAAGTTTGTCAGACTCCAAAGATCTTCTACTTTTGCATTTCGCAGTCTGGGACACATGGTGTTTTCATTCTGTAGAAAGAATAACAGTACCTTTACTTTAATAGTAGAATCAGGCTCTATTAGATCTTCAAAAATGAGCAATGCATTGTGACACAGCAACAAAAGCCAACTCCTTTGGCAATAGGCAAATTCACCCTGGCTAATTTGCCCAGATGCCAAACTCCCTCTTGCCTCAGTGTCATCCATCTCTCACAAAACAGCTTGTTCAGGGAATAGTCAAACACTCCTACTTTTTAGAAAGGAGACAACTCCTCGGGAAACTCATTCAGTGACTGGAACATCAGAATCAAATAGCATCATTATATGTTTGTTATTGAGAATAACAAAATCCAATAGCATTTAATTTTGGCTGGGCCATGCCCCTTGTAGAAATTCCTGCTACTTCTACAAACAAAATGGCTTTACAAAAGAAGCACCTGGCACAGATATAAATTTAAAAAGAATTTTCTTTGGTAACATTTTAAGAGGAAAACAATTCAGTTCAGCAGTAATCTTGATTTCACAATGCAATCTATAGTCCAAGATTTAGTTTCGCAGCTTGGCTAGAACGTTTAACCGTGCTTGGGACAAACAACAGACAGAAATATAAAAGCTTGTGCATGAGGGGAGGCTGGCCTATTGCAAACCTTTCCTAATCTAGTGCTGTCTAGATGTTTTGGACAACAGTACACATGATTGGGCATGTTGGTGGTACAGTGGTTAAATGCCAGTACTGCAGCCACAAGGTTGTGAGTTTGATCCCAGAGGGCTCCAAGGTTGACTCAGCCTGCCATTCTTTTTTAAGTCGGTAAAATGAGTACCCAGCTTGTTGGGGACAATGGGTTTACAAACTGTAAACTGCTTAGAGAGTGCTGAGTTCACTGATAAGTGGTATATAAATGTAAACGTTTTGCTAAATGCTAATGCTTATGGCAACTGTAGTCTAAAATGTCTGGAAGGCATCAGGATGGGGAAGCCTAAATTAAATAAAATCATGATTTATTAGGCTGAAGTTTTTGCATCAGAAAATGCCTACTGCATATAAAAGAGTTTGTCCAAAGTGCTACTAGTAAAACTATTGCTCAATTCCTTCTATAAGT